ACAGATCCTGGAGATAGAAGGACTTCAGACCAACCAGGGAGTTATCTGATCAGCTTGGTGTTCAATGTAACTCTTTACCATGGCTCAGACTTTGTTACTTGCAGTTTCTCATTTTAGATTGTGCAAATTTTGCATTTGTTTTTACATGTTCTTTGTTCATGCTCTTTATCATTTTTCTGAGTTGGAAAGTTAGATTGCATCATAGTTTACTTTATACATATTTGTATTCTTCAGTGGTGAAGTATATTGCAAAGCAGCTCAGCCATGTGAGAAGACTTTTGGCACTTTTTCGTTTTTCGTTTTCTGAGTTGGAAAGTTAGATTGCATTCAAAATGTACAGAAATACTTAATTTTGTTAAAGCTTTTTATAAAAGATGCTTCTGACCAGAGCTTTGTTTCCTTGTCATTAATGTTGAACACCACCAGAGGGGCTCTCACCTGAAAGGTCTCTGCTTCATGTGTCTTCAGCAGAAGATCTAGACTTTGATTGCTATATTTTCAGTTAATATTGACCTTACTGAGCTTTAGCCATATCCGCTGCCTATCATAAAAAATGTTAAGTACAGTGAACCTTTCTAAAATATACAGTAGTAAAGAGACAAACCCACCAGCATTATAGTAGCCAAATTCTTGTTTGTGGGCTGTATATATAAAATTGACTTGAAAAAGTTGCTGATTTTAGAGTACTGGCACCTTTTTCATTCCAATTCAAGCACTGCTGCACCACAGCACTGAGACTGCTCTTGTTGAGGTCTTCAATGACATCCACTTAAACACAGACCTTGGCAGAACTTCAGTGTTAGTATATGGGCTCAGAACAGTCTCATAATACACACATGCACACAGAAGGATTCACACTTGTATTTCAGGATCCACACTTGTGTTTGTCAATGCACACACAAATGTGTTCCGTTTCATATAGGCCTACATGTAAATAAAATCCAAATACAGAAAAAAGTTTTACATAGGCCTATGTATTTTTTATCCTCACATATTTGTTTTCCGTTTAAAACCTCTGCACCTACAAACACAAACCGCTTTCTGTGCACGGATCGCTGTGCATTCGTGTGTGGGTTTTTTGAGACTCCCCTGACGGTCACCCGATTCGTACTTGTAAGTTTTTCTATCTATATAGCCAATCAGATGTCTCCTCAATTCTAAGCCAATCACATGAGCGCGCCCCCAGGAGGGTAGATTTCTTGCGTTCATGACGTAGTGCTTCATGTACGCATTTTGCGCTGTCCGGAGCTGACAGCTCCATGGAGCCTGCTTGCAGGCGCTAATCTCAGGACACCTCCACTCTCAGTACATTGCCACTTTCCGAACAGGAAATGCACGCAAATACAATCTTTTATATTATTAAGGTACAGCGCCACTTTCCGAACCATTAATGAATGCTTGTGTGTACACAAAAACGGCAGGCAAAACCGTTTTAAATGTGTGTTTCCTGTATGGCGAATGCAGCTGCTTTATTTATGTCTGTATGAAGTTGCTGTGAGTGTGGAGGGAGCAGCTACAGGTTAGCTTAGCCTAATCGATCAGTGCACTACGAAGCCAGTGCTAGACAGTGAACTGTCAACGGGGGGGAGCCCCGCCGGTCATTATCGGCCGATATTCACTCTTAATAGTTTGATCGGTGCTCTCTATAAAGGCCGATCAGGAGAACTGGATCTGATCGATATGGACATAAACGCGAGTGAAGTTTTAGCAAACTGCATGAGAAACTGACGAGCTGTCAGGAGAGAGGGAGGGAGAGAGGAAAAGAGAGGATCCGTTACTCCCGTGTTATTATTAGCCATATCCGGTCATAGTCCAGTAATTACCTGCTAACGGAAACTCTCTTCTTCTTCTTCTTCTTCTTCTTCTTCTTCTTCTTCTTCTTGAAACATGACCGGTAAGTTTCAAATTTGTCCGGTAAAATAAATTCTGTCCGCGGAAACCGGACAGCGCAAAATGTGTATATGAAGTGTCATGAACGCAATAAATCATACCCTCGTGGGGACACGCTCATGTGATTGGCTTAGTGTTAACATTCAGGTAAATGTGTTACCAATTTGTGTTATTTGTTGTGCATGACCGGAAGCCAATAGCGTAACAGGTTAAAGGTCATGATGGGTATATATAAAGTCACGCCTCCAATGGGAGAGCCCGTTGAATGAAATGCCACTGTCTCTGATGTTTCGTTATTCCTCCGCTTATTTGGATGCTAAACAGCAATGAAGTTATGCTTACTCTGCTAACACTTAGAATGAAGGAGACATCTGATTGGCTATAGATATAAAACATTACAAGTACGAATCGGGTGACCGTCAGAGGAGTCTCAAAAAGCCCACACACGAATGCACAGCGATCCATGCACAGAAAACGGTTTGTGTTTGCAGGTTCAGGGATTTAAACGGAAAACAAATATGTGAGGATCAAAAATACATATGTAAAACTTTTTTCTGTATTTGGATTTTATTTACATGTATATGAAACGGAACACATTTGTGTGTGCATTGAAAAACACAAGTGTGGATCCGGAAATACAAGTGTGAATCCTTCTGTGTGCATGTGTGTATTATGAGACTGTCCTGAGCCCATATTAGTATGATTAGATCTCAGTGCTGCATTTGACACTGTTGACTGTAACTAGACCGACTGGAAAGCTAGGTGGGCTTTTCGGCAACTGTTCCAAATGGGTTTGAATCCTACTTAAAAGAAAGAAAAAATGTTGTTTCCATAGATAACTACACATCTGAGTTGACAAATATGACATGTGGGGAACCTCAAAGCTCCATCTCGGGCCCTATTCTCTTTCAAATCTATATGCTATATTAATATAATGAAAAACAACAAAATAAGTTACCATTGCTATGCAGATGACACACACATTTACATAACCATTTCACCAGGAGACTATGCTCCAATTCAAACACTGAGTAAGTGCATTGAACAAATCAATGAGTGGATGTGTCAGAACTTTCTCCAATTAAACAAAGATGAACCTGCTGTAATTGTTTTTGGAGTCAAGGAGGAACAAATAAAAGTTAGCGCTGAGCTTCAGTCTGCAATGTTCAAAACAACAGATAAAGCCAGAAATCTAGGTGTAGTCATGGACTCTGACCTGAGTTTCAACAGTCACATTAAAACAGTTACTAAATCAGCCTACTATCACCTAAAGAATATATCTAGGATTAAAAGACTAATGTCACAGCAGGAGTTGGTAAAACGTGTCCATGCTTTTATCTTCAGTAGACTGGACTACTGTAATGGTGTCTTTACAGGTCTCACTAAAAATAAATGAAAAAGCTGCAGCTAATTCAGAACGCTGCTGCCCGAGTCCTCACTAACACTAAGAAAGTGGATCACATCACACCAGTTTTGAGGTCTTCACACTGGCTTCCTGTCTTTCAAATAATTGATTACAAAATACTGCTGCTGGTTTATAAAGCTTTGAATGGTTTAGGGCCAAAATACATTTCTGATCTACTGCTACATTATGAACCATCCAGAACTCTCAGGTCTTCTGGGACTGGTCAGCTTTCTGTCCCCAGTTAGAACTAAACATGGAGAAGCAGCGTTCAGTGATGCTCCAAATATCTGGAACAAACGACCAGACACCTGCAGGTCCACTTTTCTTTTTGCCGCTGCTTTTACACTGAACAAAAATATAAACGCAACACTTTTGTTTTTGCTCCCATATTTCATGAGATGAACTCAAAGATCTAAAACATTTTCTATATACACAAAATAACCATTTCTCTCAAATATTGTTCACAAATCTGAAAAAATCTGAGATAGTGAGCACTTCTCTTTTGCCGAGATAATCCATCCCACCTCACAGGTGTGGCATATCAAGATGCTGATTAGACAGCATGATTATTGCACAGGTGTGCCTTAGGCTGGCCACAATAAAAGGCCACTCTGAAACGTGCATTTTTGCTTTATTGGGGGGGTCTGAAAACCAGTCAGTATCTGGTGTGAGGGGTAGGGGTAGGGGTAGGGTTAGGGTTAGGGTAATGTTGTGAATTGAGTGGCCCATGGTGGTGGTGGGGTTATGGTATGGGCAGGCGTATGTTATGGACGACGAACACATGGATGACTTACCCAACAGAATGTACTTTTTGCTTTTAAAACAGCGGTGAAAGTTAAAACTCATGATATAGTATGTTCTACAAAGTCATTGTCATCTACACTGTATATAATGCCTTCAAACGTATTTGTTTTTTATGCCATGACAAATAATCAGAGTCAGTAATCAGTAAAGCATGCAGAACAAAGTGCTTTAGAACATGGTTCATATGAATAAAAACTGAAATATAATGCAAAGATAATAAAAAATAAGAAGGTAGTAAAACACAATAGATACAAGTGACAGTATATAAAAAGCTAACATGAGATGAAAAAATGAAACCTAATTAATAAACATACTAACCATAATATTTTTTTTAAAAAGAGCACCAAAGGTCATAAGTCCAACTTTAATTTGTGGAAAAAACCCCTTAAAGAATGTAAAAAGTTGCATTATAGTATGTTATAAAAGTATTTCAGAATAGAGTGGTGCAGTGACACATCCTAAAACCCGGAAGTAAGCTGTGCATGGGTACCTTCCGGTCCTTATAAAAGTATTATAGTATAGTAAGTGTCATAAAAAATGTCTAATTGATAATATAGTATGCCATGAAAAATGTATTATATATTATATGTAGTATTTTATTCTAAAATAAATTCACCGTATAGTATTTCCATATATATGTAAAAATAAAACATAGTATATTATGCCATAAAGACATCTCATCATTTGGTATGACACACACAATGGCATTTCATTTAAAAAAAAGTGGGCCATAGAATGTCAGAAACATCATTGAATGACATTTAAAAAAAGGAAACGATGAACAGTTGGTTTACTCTCAAACAAGCTTATTTCCCAAAAGTGTTCTGTTTAACAATGGGCCTTATTGTGCACTACTACCTCCTTTTCTACATCACTAAAGCAACTCTTTTGTTTTCTGTAGATCAACTCTTCAAAAGTGGATGTGATTTATGCTAATAAAGCTTTTCTGGAAGAGAGAGAAGTAGCTGAGGAAGAACCTCTCCATTACGTCAATGTGGACTTTGCTAAACTGCAGGCCCATTCAAAGGGTAAGCCTGGGGAAGGGGAGATTAGAGGCCTGGACTCAAAGACTGAATATGCTGAGATCCATCTGCAGTCCAGAGGAAGCATTGGAGGAGATGCAGAGGAAGAAGAGAACGTTTCTGACACTCAATTGGAACAAGAGAAGACGCCTTAGTCTCATAGACCTTGAGGTAAAAAGTGTATACCGACGTTTAAGGGAAATGTTAGCTGAAACACAGGACTTTTTTATAGATTTTATTTTCAAAATACAAAGACATTTTGTTGGCAGTTATACAAGAGCTGAATTCAAAGCGTGTAATGAAATGGAGCAATATATATTTGGCACATTGTTTGAACATGTATATTTCAGAAACAAGCCTCTTCTGCACAATATTACGATTGGTATTTAAAGCCATGTCATAAATGTCATTATTTATTTTTTTATTATGTACATCTTCCCCTGCATACTTTATTTTACAATTCAGTAGTTTAAACAAAATGTTCTTCATTTTAATTGTAGGTTTCATGGGTTTGGATTAAGCTCACAATTGTGGTACTTACTGGACACTTATCAAAGCAGAGAGTTAGTGAAACATTGAAATCCAAACTGTATTTAACAATTAGCTGAACCTGTAAGGCAGGATAAGATAATGTAAACTCAGATTTTGACGTGAGAGTACTGCGTCTCCTCTTCTTCAGAGTTGATCAAGTCTCAGGCGGCTCTCTGAGTCTTTGCCTTGAAGTTCACCTGTGAATAATTGATCTCTAATTCATCCTCACTGGTGTCTGTGTCATCGTTCAATGGATTCGGAGATATGGCTGAGTGTGCTGTGCTGATGTTCTCGTAGTCCTCCAGCCTCTTTTCATTCTAGAAGAAAACACAGATATAGTCACCAGATCATTGGTGTGATAACCTTTGACAGTATCAGGATTGTCTAAACAATATCTACATACATTTTACCCTCGGAAGAATTAAAAAATGTTTACTTGATTTTAATAAGTAGTCACGTCTTAAGAGGAAACATCCATTTTGTTACAGTAAAGTGGACACACAGACACTATACATGCCATACTTATTTTCTATATATATATACACACCATAGTTTACCCCAAACACAAGGAAAATTACCTTTTTGTCTTGCTTTACAATAGCATACACTTCCTCTTCTGCCTGTTTGTTTCTACAGAAAAAAAAAACATCATACATTTGCCATGCAACAATACCTTTTTTTTTACTGGTATAATATGTTAAAAAATATATTCTCACTGTTGCTTATTTCCAAAGTGCAAAGACGCGTAGTTGAGAGAATCATCCTGTGTGTGTCCACCTTGCTGTCTGATTGGCCTTTGTGCAGAAGGACCCTGAGCAGATTCAGACTGAAGACAGATCAGTGAATGAACACTATACTGAATCAGTTCATTCATGCTTTAAAATGTAGGTCATCAGGTCATTCATGCTCTACTATACTAAATACTGAATGATTACTATTCTGAAAAACAGTGAGGACAGAGTTATATTTCAGCGTGCAAAGCAACAGCTTGATCAATGGAAGGGATTTTTTGTGTAAGTGATAAACTAAAATTGTCAGAAGGCATAAATGTCCTAATTCAAATTGTGTTATGTCAAAATTGTCTTACAACAGTATGACATAACATGTCATTGTATAGTATTTGATAAAGTGAATAAAACACAAAGGTCAATGTTAAGTCAGAAAAAAATACAGTGAGTCTTGTAAAAATGTCCTTAAAAATGTCATAAAAACGACAGGTTCTGTATGGCATAGGAAATGTCCAAAAAATATCATATTAAAAATGCCATAAGAAGTCATACAATTCCCCAAAAAGCAACAGCATAGCATAATGTAATGTATTTTGTGATCTTAAAGTGAGGGAATCATTTTAAGTTTTATGTTTGTTTTGTTTTAATGAAGCTGTTGAATTTCTTTACTCACTTGTTTTTCGGAGGGCAGATTCAGAAAACTGTAAACACTGTTGATGTTGGATTCAGGCCTTTGGAACAACAACGGGAAAAAAACATGTTGTGACTGATTATAATAAATGACAGGGGAAACTCTCATTGTGCATTTCATGTCTGAAGGATTTTGAATGAATGCTTTAGTTCTAGCTTGAGCAGCAGGATCCTACAGAGTGTGTCTTGTCCCGTCAGGACTGTGTGTGTGTCTGCTGTCTTACGCGCAGTCTGGACTCGGCTGGCACCGTTGGGCCTTCGGACGGCGCGGCTGTTCTGGCAGTAAGTCATCTCTGCTCCTGAAAGGCTCCGCCATGCTGGGCTCGTTTATCCGATTTCTCACCCTGGGGCCCATCCGCCATCCCTGAGTGTGTTTCCACCCACACACACACAAGAGTTAAGTCACCATGATATTTTTACATCCGCTTACATCTCACATATTTATACATTTTTAAAATAAGCAGTATTTTATTCCACTGCACAGTACATCCTGTTGTTATTTATCTGTGTATAATGTTTACTTCGTTTTGCGTTTACTGGCACATCGGTCTTTCTTTATCACAATTATTTTCTGTTTCTTCTTGCATACTTGTGTTTGTATTGTTTTATATCTTACACATATTGTTTGTTGCATTTTTGGAAGAGCCTGGGACTTTTCCTTGCCAAAACGACTAGCTGTAGCAATCATTAATCATTATTGTCTAGATCTGTACAATAAAGGAGTAAAGAAAAGGTTGTTCAAATGATTCATCACCAGAAACCCAATACAGGGCAGTGTGTTTGTAGATCCTTGAATTGATGTCTTCCTCTTTTTTCTGAAAACGAAGTGAAACGGCAGTTGTTTTAAATGCCAGTTAAACGTGCCAAAACATCCTAAAAATGTAATTGCTTTCATACTTCACCTGTAGACGAAGACAATTGTCAAAATTAGGATCAGGGTTATAAGGAAAAAAAAGATAAACAGGAACTTCATCCAGCTTCCTGTGGATAGAAGAGAAATGTGTATGCAGTACATACAGTATGTATATATGTACAAATATATGTATTTGAACAAGAGCCATGCTGACAAACTGTTGCGATTATTTAGAGGAATAAGTGTACTCTGGCAAGTCTGATTTCCATAACCAACACATTTCCAGGATGAACAATTAGCATAAAGAAACATTGCATTAAAACTCACTCACGGTCAAACAGATGGATCTTTTCAGAGGACTGAATCTGATCTATTTTATTTTTCGCGGTGCAGTAGTAGACTCCAGGTTGATCTGAATACACAGTGTAGTTCTGACGGTCATGCACTTTGACGTCCTTTTCTCCCGTGTTCTCCTTGTACCATATATATTGTATAACTGGGGGATAGCTGTGACTGCTGCAGCTCAGCGCCACAGAGCGAGTCCCGTCTTCTGCTCTCAGGATCTTTGTGTGTTTTGGAGCATCTAGGTGAAATTTAGGACAAAATGAAAAAAGGGCAAACAATCATCAAGGATCAAAGCACACGACCAAAGACAATGTGAAGCCACTGTGTGTAGAACTTTACATCTTTGGTGCCCCTCAGTGGTCATTTCCAAAATGTGCAGATTTGTAGAAAAAGTGTTAATGTCACATTTAAAATTACTCTTTAAATCACGCTTAGACACAATGCACATCCCTGCTATGCTCCATGTTACTTAATCTATTGACAGCTGGTAGAGGTTATGCGAATGTAATTATGACTTAAAAAAAAGAAAAAAAAATTCCACTGGATACCTTTAACATCCATCACTGAAATTACTTCCTTATTTTGTCTGAACATTACAATCTGTGTTAGAACAACCACTTAAAGGTGGGGTAGGTACGTTTGAGAAACCGGCTCGAGATACGCTTGTTGTTATATTCCACGGAATGCTCTTAACATCCCGATAGCAATTCATATCTTAAGTGCTTTGACAAAAAATCCATAAAAAAATTTCATCTGTGGAAGCCGTAATACTGTAAAAAGCACGACCAATCATCTGAGCCGGCTAAAATGATTGAATGGCCTACCTGCCTGTCAGCCTTCCATCTGTGCACAAACGTATCTCGTGCTCTCATTGGTCATGTGCGCGTTCTTGTGTGTGTTGGAGGAGGGGCTCTGTAAGGAAGTGGCAGATTTTTTCCGGCTGTGGATTTTCAAATGCTAGCGCACTCGAGCTGGTTTCTCCAACATTACCTACCCCACCTTTAAGCTGCCACTTTCACGGTTGCATAAATCCTTTGTTACCCGATGTTGGACATAAGAAGAAAGATGCTTCACATGTTTTATTAGTAAGAATTATGGCCTATAATAGTTAAGGGTATATTGTATCAAACACTTAAAATGTAAATGTTTTTGTGTTATCTTTCTTTTCTGTGTCTTATTCTTATCAGGTTTTGAATGCATTTTGTTGACTCTTAGACATGCTTATCTGAATTTACAATACTCCTATTTTTTCTATATAATCTTGATTGCGCTATTGTACTCACAGTTTACTTTAACATCAGCCTGCAGTGAGTCTCCAGCTCCAATTTCGTTACAGGCTGTACATCTGTACGATCCGCTGTCTGAATAACTGACAGACTTCAGACTGAAGGTGTGAGTCCTCCAGATGATTTTACTCTTTCCATCAGTCATCTTCATCCAGGTGAAAGAGGTTGCTGGTGGGTGGGACTTGGCACTGCAATGCAGCGTCAACGACTTGTTTTCATTCACAATAAGGGCAGGCTCAGCTCTTATGGTCACATTTTTTGGAGAATCTGCAATCGCCAAAATTTAGTAAAAGAGAAAGACAGGTGTCGGATCAAACTTAATGTTAAGTCACGATGATATGGTAATACGAATATATACAAAAAATGTCTCGATAAGTCACTCACATTTCACAATCAGCGTCCTTTGTTCGCTTTTGGTTGAGCCTTGACTGTTCGTGGCAGTGCAAACATAATCGCCTGTGTGGGCTGAAGTTACATTACATTTGTGTTGAAGAGTGTTAGGGGGCCAATCATTTGCAGCTTCAGAGAAATGCCTTTCTGAAGGCTGAGGAGTTGATGTAGGAGTCATGGTCAAGGTGAGCTGTGACGGTGGAAAGCTTTCAACAGTGCAGTTGATGGTGATGAGCTGACCTTCTCTGACCTCAGCATCCATAGACAGCTTGAGAGATGTGGGAGCATCTGTAGAAACGGGAGAGCAGCATGATTTTCAGAAGGATCAATAATGTTTCTAAATGTTGCATGATATAACAGGAGCAGACACTGAACAGGTGCATGTCCTACAATCTTTAGTTTGACATTTTCCCATACGCGCTTATACTTGTTCTGGCCAGATTTCGAGAAAAAGATCAACGGGAGGCCAAAAAAGCCTACATCATAATTCAGATTTGTTAAAAGTCTGTTCTACTGCTTTGTCAGGTCTTTCTGCACAAGCAAATTGCTTTTGAAATGCTAGCTTCAGAACAATCAGGGTTATGCTATGCTAACATTGTAGCTGCTAGCTGCATCAACAATGTAATACAAATGATACGAATAAATACGTCAGAGAAACTTAAACATCACAGTTCATTTTGAGCAAAACACAATTACTTACACATTACTTGTATGCACTTCGGTTCACTATCCTCCCCTGTACTGATGAGGTTGGTTGCATTGCAGATGTAACATGCTTCATCTGATCTTTGCACTTTGTTCAAACGCAGTGTGTTTTTATCAGTTGTCCTGGACGTCCACTGTGAGGAGTCAATCTGTTTATTCGTGTTGTATCGGTACCAGGAGTATCTCATTGGTGCAGGATTGGCATCAGTGTTGCATTGGAATTGAATGGAGCTATCGACTCCCACAGATGAATCCTCTTTTATACCATGGTTACTGATGGTTGTCTTCCTCGGGCCGTCTGGAACATGAAATATATTTTTAGTATACTTTCTACAAATAGTTAGTGGATTTATTTCCTTTTCTGTGCCATCATATCAAAACGGTTTGATATACATACAGCAAAAGGAGCGGTGCAACTTACATTTAACAATAATTTGAAGAGGCTCTGATGTTCCAGTCCCCACAGTGTTAGTGGCTGTACATGTGTAGCTGCCTTTGTCCTCAGGCTTGATTCTTTCAACAACATACAGCTGTGTCCTCTGCCCATCAATAGTGCTCCCAATTTTTGACCAATCATAGGTTGTGGGTTGTGGGTTGCTTCTTTTCACATTACATTTCAAGGTCAGTTTATCTCCTTGTTTAACTTCAGAAGTTGAGGACACAACCTCAACTTCAGGCTTAACTGAAACATAAGATTTCAATGTTTATTTTGGTTAATATACATGGATAATACACTAAGAATGCTGCAGACCTCAGGTGTTAAAAATACTGAGAATCAGAAACGCATGTAAAATGTATATTCAATTCTAGAATAAATCTAGTGAATACTTACATGTGACATTAATTCTGACAAAATTCGATGTTATTGTACCATGTTTGTTTTTGGCTTCACAATGGTATTCTCCATCCCAAGACTCTCCAATTGATGGGATGTCCCATACTGCAATTGTTACACCTCCTGCTTCTTTATTTTTGTACCAGGTAAAGGTGGGGTCAGGATTTCCTTTGGCGGAGCATCTTAGAGTCACATGTTGTCTTTCCACAATATCTTTTGGACTAATTTCAGCCAATGTGTTTTTTGGAGCATCTGTATCAACACAAGTCAGGAGAAGTCAGACAACACCCAGCAAGCATAGATGGACTTTTACATTGTTTCCAAATATCCAGCACAATAGAATCATATTACATTTGATTTCAGTCCCGGTAAGGTTTTTTAAAATGTTTTAAAATCAAAGCCAGAGTCTGAGTCAAGCATTATATTACTTTCTAAAGTACAACTAAGCTATTTGATTTTTTTAAAAGTAGGAAAGTTGTTGATTTCTCGACCCTTAAAAATACATAATCTGATGGTCAAAGGAATTATTCATTACAAATCGTATTATTACTACTAAATAGAATATGACAAAGTTGTTAATCTAGCTTATTCGGATCGTAAAAAATACGCATTTAAAAGTAGTAGCAACTCAATTGTAGAAGATTGTTTTTGCTTTTCAAAACTTGACATCTCTTTAGTCAAATTCTTAATTTTCAGTTTTT